ATTGTTACCCTCTCCGCCTTTTATATCTTCCAGATCCAGATTAGTACCGCCGGGACCTTCCTTTCCTGCGCAAGCTTTCTATCCTCCGCTATGGTCCCTTCCTCCTGTGACACCAACACCTCCTGGAAGTGACGCGTATGCAACACAATGGTGTTTCATACAGTAGAAGGGACACAATCATGATATGACGGTAGATTTTTCGCTTCCCTTCCTCATCCTCCCTTCCTCTCTCCACTGCCCTCCAGCTGCCACTGCAGCACCATGTGGAATGAACGGAAGTGTGCTAAGCAGGTGTTTATATAGCCCTAAGAGTGTTATCACAACTATCCTGCTACAAAACATTGATATCTCAAATCCTGTAAGCTACCCGATTTGTTAGCGGTTTGTTTATCCCATGAGCTTCCTTCTCACTCACTTCATTTTGCGGACGGACACACAGGAATAATACTAATAATACAATACTACACCGTGCACAGATATCATATACAACCGGCACACAAGTTATGCTTTATAAGAAATAGAAGGGATACCAACGAAGGTCCGCGCGCTTTGGGGCAGATGCCAGAGTCAGCGGACGTGTTGCAGGCGTATGAATATCATAATTTGGTCAGGCTATATAATAGATGTGACAACAGGTGTAACCATTGCGGTGGAGAGTCTGCCACTTTTCCAATTTTTGGTTGGTTATTTTATCTGTTTTGCTTGTAACTCCTGACCGCGTATATATCTCCGTGAGTGTACCACACTTGTTGATGAGCTGTCAAAAATCTTCATGCTAGTTTGCCAAAACTCAGTGGAGCGTGGGACGAGAAAGGAGGCGACCTCAATTTCAAGTTAAAGTTGATCGTCTAATTATCAAGATGATGATTTAAGGTCCAGGATGGGTGGCAATCATTCATAGCTCGACCAGGGGAATCGCTAGGAGGTAAGAATCTAATGTCGCGCTGGTCAGATTTTACGGGTGATTTCGACATGATGATTCAAAATGTCATGGAGAGATAGATGTCTCGGGTACGGAGGGATTCTGCGAGTGCATGCGGCCATTCTTTTGGAAGTTCTGCGCGTAGCTATCAATGGTGCCATAAGGAGTTTGTAGTGGAGCCCCCCGTAAGAGACCTTTGTGTGTAGAGTGTGGAGGGACGCTTGTTTTTTATAAAATATTAAAGATCGAAGCGCAGTCAAGTGAAAACACTGTAGGCGGTGAAGAGGGCCTAAGCTATTGCAGCGATAGGTTGGTCTTTGCATGATTCCTGTTTTGGAGATGTTATACTAGACAAGGGTCGAGTGTGGGTTTACCGCCAGTGGTTCGGTGGTTGAATTGGTTTTTGGGTAACTTGGTTGCGACCTCGGTTGGGGTTTAAGCTCGGAGATGTTCCGATTTGTGAGTTCATAAGGTAACTACGAATGTTTTTCAAAAGAATTTTAGAAAGTGTGGAGACGTTTTTTCCACCTAAAATATTACTCATCTGTAACTCGTTCGCGACGTTGGCCTTCATGCCGTGCGACGGGGGCTCCTGTTGGCACCTCTTTTTGGTGATGAAACGTTGTCAGCCGAAGTTCACGCCGGTAATCTGCGCAACTTGGCCCACGATCTTTGGTGGTGTGGTCTACGATTTGTGTGAATGAGTGATCAGCAAGAGTGCTAGATTTCGAACCTATTTACAACATTTCGCACTTTCTTGCTCTATTTATCGCGATGAGTTTTGTCTTGGAATCTCATATCGGGTGATCAATCTTTTTAACTAAGTGTTGCCTAATATGTGGCCGGTCCACTATTTCGTCCCTTTGTTCCAGCTCAGGTGTCTGTGAGCTGTCCAAAAATTGTGTTTTTCAGAGATTTGTTTTATCTTTCGGAGCTGTGTTTTCATGTTTTTTGTTTTGGCATTTTGAACGCTGCAACAGTAATAAATAAAGCGCAATTATATGTTGTGAGAAAATACAAGTACAGTAAATATCTCGAAGTCAGATTGGGCGTGTCACCAGAAACGATGTAGCGGCCACCACACTTGATAGAAGTCGTGTGGATAAGCTGTTTTTAACAAGTTTCGCTGGATATCAGCAGAGCGTGCTGGAGGCAGCTTATCGGCGCAACTTCTGTCAAGTGCGGAGGCCGCCACGTCATTTCTGGTGACACACCCAATCTGAGGCGACGTAAGCAAACCAGCCCTTTTGGCGCTTCGGCTGGGACCGTATGCTGAATGTTGGGTTGACGGGGATGGGGGAGTCCGACGTGACGGCACGACTTCAACTCGGTCCTTAGAACCGCAAACAATTTGGTGAAACCTCAGAACTAAGCCTTAAAGGACGGGTCCGTCCCTTTCCAAGGCTTAGTCCTGGGGTGAGCAAACCAGCCCTTCTGGCGGAGCTGCTGGACCAGCTGCACCACTTGCGTCAGTACTCTCCTATCGTACCAACCGAGTTGAAGTAAACCGTCGACCGTTGGGGACCCCATCCCCTCCCCAACATTCAGCATACGGTCCCAGCCGAAACGCCAAAAGGGCTGGTTTGCTTACCTTGAGGCGAACGGTCATACTTTGTGATCGCAGCGATTCGCTAGCGAATGGTGCCGCGTGATTCAAAGAGGTGGACTGTAAGCGGCGCATGTTTCCTGGTACAAGAGCTGCCGAAAGTGGAATAGGTCAGCTGGCGTCTACATCTACAGGAAAGCTCGAGAGTGATGTTATATCTCAATCCGATTTCGCGTGCGTCACTATACCTTACCTAATTGCAAAACTTTCCGGAGCAGCTGACGAGTCAATGCTAAGAGCAGAAAAGAGCAGTGAAAGCGAGAAAGACGTAGGCAATCACGAATGACTGTTTTGCGCCAAGTCTGATCGCTAAAAGGGCGAGGCGCTTGTTGACGTGGTCAGTATTATCCACAGTTAGAATTGAGTATTGCAGTAACTTACCGGATATTACTTCCTACAATAAAAGTCGTCTTTCAATATGGATCGCTTGTCGACCAGTTATGAAGGGAACAGGAACGGAACATCAAGCAGTTTTGAAAAGCATCTCACGCTGATTGTAAGCCGATGCCCCACTGCTCTCTCAGAGGCTGATCGCTCCACTTGATGTAGTGAATAAAGGAACACCATCAACAGTGGTTCCGTCTTCTGATTGTTTCAGATCACCAGAGCTGCGCGGTGGTCAAAGCGTAAGCTAGACTACTTAACGCGTAGACGACAGACTGAAAACCGGTACGCACATGCGCGTCAGCGTTTTGGTACCAATTTTTTCCGCACATTGTCCGACTTCTTCCCAAATTTTTTGCGCTCATTCTATAGGCCATACATTAGCATACTCAAAAACCACATGGCTCACAGAAAGGCCAAATATTCTTTAGTTTGGCAGAGGTTTTCCAGACCTTACGGATATGTCTGTTCAGTTCATTCCTCGTTTTCTTTTCATTAACGTAAACATGTTGATAAAAAGGAATAATAGAAGTGAATACAAACCTATTCGTATGGGAAGATATGTGTTTTTACTGAAACAACCACGTCCAAATTAATTTTGGAACCACTAAAGGGAAAGTAAGTAAAATTTGCCTTTTCATGGCCTTAACACGTCATTTCGGTCGAAATTCCATTACTGTAACTCCCGATAAGTTAGACAGATCGAACATTATTGAAAACACTTCATCGCATCTAAGTATTGCGTATTTACAGCTCAAAATCCATGGATTTGGTGTGCGGCGGCGGCGCTCGCAAAATCGCTCTGGTCCCACGCGGTGCAAAAAGCCAAAACGCGCGATGTCGTCAACGTGTTAAAGGACGAATTCACGCTGAAAAAGCAACCCATTTCAAATTAACCTAGGATGGTGAGTGGTACACGAAAGAAGGAAAAACCATGAGAAACGGCCCAGAACCCGAGAAATGGGACCCCTTCCTTGCCCGTTGATGCGACTCTCATCGCTGTGCCCTCTTCAACACTACGCTCTCTCTGCTATCTAATCACTCGCCACGTATAGACCTGCGGCGAGTGATCAGATGGTCGGTGGGCGTACCCGCCAACCGCGCCAAGAGTGAGCCATGCTAGATCGCCGAGGTCAAATCTTTCGCTGCCAATTGCGCGTCGGTCAGCACCCTCAGGAGGTCCGCCTGTCTCCCAACTAGGCATTTCCCCCTTCTTCGACCTTCGTTCTTATCGTGAATTCGTCCTCCTTCAAGCGCTAACCTCAGTTGCCTTGCCTATTGTTCACGAA